ATTCTGTTTAAAAGCTGCGATTAACATGTTCCTACGTCGAGTAAAATATGTACTTTTGTAGTTAAGACTCTATCGATGTGACTAAACTGAGGTAGCTGCTAAACTAAGTAGCGATCGGAGGAAACTGGATCGGGAACCAAAGTCGGTAGGTATGTAGTTTCCTACCAGATGCTATGCAATACATATCGGTAAAGGTTTATCTCTGCTCCTTCTAGTCGGCAGTTTGTCGTCCGGCATTTAGTTATATCCATTTTTATGGGCTTTATCAATGCAGTTGCAACCGAAATAAAAGAGTACCAAATAATATATATAGTAATAGGGGGTAAATGTAAATAAAACCAAATACAAATTATTAAAAATATTTCATTTAATCATTTGAAAATTCAACAAAAATTCAATATTAATTGTAGTAATAATAATAGCAGAAAGTAATGTAATTTTTGTCCTTTTTCGTTTTTATTGAAATATAATTAAATTTATTTAGTTTTCCATACGGAGTACGAATAATAATAATAATAAAAATCAACTAAAATATTCAACTAAATTACATTAAAAGTAGACATTCAAGTTGAATTGCCAAAATGTGTAGGAGTGGAGGAGCGTAAGGGGTAGAGGGGCTAGGGGGAATTAAACACTGGGCGAGGGATTGATTCCTTCTGTGGATCGTGGGGTTTTGGGTATTTGTGTATAACATAAAAAGGTACAAAGTATACATATATTACACATTACAAATTAGGCGTAAACAAAAGTGTGCTAAGTGTGTATATTTAATTAAACAAAATTATAATCGGGTAGCAATAAATTTGGTGAATGGGAGGAGGGGATTACACAGTGGGTTTGATTTTCGGGGAGCATATAATTTTGGAAATATCTGCTGCGCTTTATTGCCTTGGCCTTGGGGAATCGGAGGAGGATCGCGGTTGAAAGTGCCTAAACTTCACCAATTTGTACATTTCGTCATCAGATGATCTGAGAAAGCTCGAAGGGAGCTATCAAAAATTGGTTTTTAAGAATTTCGGTTAAAGTTTAAACATTTTGCTGTTGCTTCTGCTAGGCTCTACACGGATTTTGGCATGTTCCAATATTCCAGTAAACTGAAGATCGTCAAAAGATTTAAGGGGAAAGGCGCGCAAATATTTCATTCGTTTAACATAAAATATAAATGGTTGTTTCTTGAGTACAAATTATGAACTAAACAAAAACTGCTTTTAAATTGTTTATAAATTGATTACTTGATTTAAACATACATATTTTGTTTTACTTTGCCTTGATTTATCATAGTTTAATATGCATTTAGAAAACATTGTTATTTGTTAATCGTTATTTGTTATTGATTTTTGCTAAGGAGGTAATATAAATTACAATTTAATGTGTTTTACTCTCGCTCAATCGCCATCTCTTCCTCATTACTTAAAGACTTCTACTATGTTTATTCATTTGCCGTCTAGGGGTTAGGATTCATTAGAATTAGTTGTGATCGGAAGTATGACTATTACTGTTTAGGGGCTCATTCGATTCGATTTGATTCGATTCGGTTCTTCTCCTTCTTATTGGTGTCTGAGGTGGGCATAAGTTTGTGGTTTTCTTCTCGACTGGACGCGATCGAGACTTCGTCCTAGCACATTTAACTAAAACAAACACTGAATCAAACTAAAACACGGGCTGACTTACGTAGTAGTTGGTGGTGCGGGTGCTGCTGCCTTACTTTTGGGGCAGCCTTAGCTTGCGTATAACTTATTACCAATATGTTTTTTTTGTTGTGTAGTTTAGTGTAGTGTAGTGTAGTGTAGGTCTAAAGGTTACTCCAATTAAATATCTATATAACTATATGCTGTATCTGTGTGCTTCGTGTGTCATGTTTTTTTTTGTGTGTTGTATGTATGGGGTTTGCCTATAAATAAGTTCACTTCCTCTCCTTCCTCCTGCGCGTACATGTATGTTAGATTAAAACCTTAAATTTAGACGAAAATTATATATAACTGTGCCAAACTTATATATAATCCTCTCAAGTAAATGCCAAAAGGTGTCGCTTGTCGTAAGTTTCTATCAATTTAGGTTTTAGGTTAAGGTTTATATTTAGGTTAGTTAGGTGTAGGTTTATAGGGTATAGGGTATGTACTTATAAACTTAACCGGTAGTTCTATATAAGTAGGCATAACGAAGATGTCTCGTTACTGGTAGGTTTGTATACAAAAAAATTTACTATCACTCAGTTTGTCCCTTCATGCGTTCTGAAAAAAATTGTCGTTTAATTAACGTGTATTATTTGGTATGTAAAATGGCGGCAATGCTTAATGCCTAAAAGGAGGCGTTCAATTTGTATTTACTGGAAAAACTGCAGCACATGCAAGATTCGGATCCCATTCCTGATCCACAGGGTTTTGTATTTCAAGCAGATCCCTCACCAAAAGTCACCAAAGGGGGATAAAAGGGATTCGGGAATTTTCAGGGAGGGGCATTCACAGATATTCGAGGGTGGTTTTGAATTCTTTTACAAAAAATGCAATGCAGGCAATGCCTTGATCGAAACACAGACATTTTTATCCGTATAATATCACACTGTTGAAACTATCGAAAATAGGGGTTAGCAAACTGGGGCTGTCACAGATTGGCTGTCTTAATGTAGGCAATTTTGGTTTGGGGTTTTGCGTTTAGACATTTTCTGAAAATGTTTGTTTTCAACTGGGTTTCACAAGGGATTTTTTGGGCCAGGCCTAGTCACAATTTTGTGTGGGGTTTTAGAATTTTTTATAAAAATTTCGTTTCTTTCGAATACTCACAGTGAGGGGTTTTTTAAAAAGTGTCGAGTCTTCTCTCTAATATATGGTCCCCGAAATGGAAAACCTTTTGGAAAATACACGACACTCCATTCACAGATGATTTGACGAAACTTACATGGTCTATATTTAGGGTTCGTTTCGAACACGAGGGGGTTTAAGGAATGGGGGATATATAACACAGTTCCTGCTGATCGATTTTTAGTTTAGGCTGCCCAAACATTTTCTCACAGATGGGTGTCAATATCAGGGGGTTTTACTTTTAATTTCATTAAAATTTCTCACAAATTTTAAATGGAAAAGAAAAATAACCAAAGGAGGAAAATCTAACACAGTTTCTGCTGATCTTGTTTAATGTTTAGCTGGCCTAAACTTCTTTTCACAGATGGGGGTCATATCAAGTGGGATTTTATTTTCAATTTTATTAAAAATTTCACAGAAGTTAAAATTTTAAAAACAAGTTTGAAATTCAAACAAGAACTTGCAGTTTCTGCTGAATAGTTTTAAGGTTTATGTTACCTAACCTGAGTTTCACAGATGAGGTCATACCAAACGGGGTTTTACTTTTAATTTCATTAAAATTTTCACAGAATTTATGTAAAAAATCAAAATTTAATGAGTTAAATAAAAACGTAGGGTGGAAAAAACTTTTTTATAGGTTTAGGTAGCCTAAATTCCTTTCACAGTGGGGGTCATATCAAGTGGGGTTTTTTTGTTTTATTTTTAATAAAATCTTCACAGGCATTTTGAAAAAAAAAATTAATTGCGGGGGGAGGGGGAAACTAAAACTTGGAGGTATGCAATATCTAACACAGCTTTTGCTGATCGGATTTTAAGGTTTAGGTTGCCTAAACTATCGGACACAGTTGGAGAAATATCAAGTGGGCTTTTATTTTCAATTTAATTAAAACTTCACAGATGTAAGGTGGAAAGCAAATAAAAAGTTTTTAGAGAGGCTAACACAGTTGTTGCTGGTCAAATTAAAAGTTCAGGCTGCCTTAACATTTTTACACAGATAGGTTTGGTTTTAATTTTAATTCGATTAAAATTTCACAATTTCGAGATAAAGAAGGAAAATGGGAACAGGAAAAGGGACTTTTACCCCAGGGATTTGGTGACTTTTCTTAGCACGGAATAAACACAAAACAGGAAACATTGAACCGCTCTATAAATTGTTGGATGTTTGCTTGCATACCATATTTAAAATTTAGAAAAAATCGTCCTTAAGCCTACTAAACCTATCGATAGTGAGTGCCTGCATGTGTTTTTGGATGCACCTGCGGGCCCGTCACTCTATTTTTAGAGATCCATCACATACGGCTGCTCTGCTAGTTACGACAAAGAGAAGAACCCTAGACATATACAAAGAAGATCGCTATAACCTACACTTACTCTTAATAATTAATGATCACGCTGCGCCGAAAGTTTATTATATTTTTTGTTTAATTTTTTTTTTCGTTTTTTTTTTTTGTTTTGAGAACTTAACTAAGAGAGTTTGGGGGGCGTGGGTGGGGGTGGTCTGCTTGAAATACACCTGAAGTGGGGTAATAAAAACCTAGTTGCATGTGCCGCCTGGCTGCTATTTGTGTGTGTGTGTGTGTGTGTGAGTGGTTGGTTGGGTGGGTGGTTGGACTCTTAGGGGTTGCTGTATTATTTTGAGGGCCTAACTGAACTGTGTCGAACTGGAGAGAGAAACTTAATCGGCTCTAGAGGTTCTCGGTTCGCTTACTAAAACTAGGAATAATTACCAATCGCTTAGGTAAAGATGTGCAACTTATCGATTATGTTGTTGTTTTGTTAAATTTAGGTTTTTGTAATTTTACGTTTCATAAATTGAAGCAAATGTTTCATGTTCTCCCCTTTATTTTATACTCTCCTACTCTACTCCATCATCCTTTTTGTGTTATTGAGCAGCACAGCAATTATCATGATTTCTTTAAACAATTTAATGCCCTGCCTTCAATTTTCGCTAAATAAAACTTTTCCCTCAATCGTGATGTAAATGTTTCGTTTTTGTCACTTCTTTTTCTTCTACGTCGCATCTTTTACTCGTTTTCCCTTTTTTTTTGTTTGTTTTACATTCGCTTTGTTTTTTTTTTTTTGGTAAAATGTATAAAAAAAATTTGCTTTAAAAAATAAAACTAAAAATTGCTTGTTTTGTTTGTGTTTAGGTAGGTGTGTAAACAAAGAACTAAAAAAAACTCAACAAAAATAACAAGAAAATTGTTTTTAGTTTGCATAGTTTTCTCTCGGTTTTAAGATGTGTGTGGTCGTGGTGTGTGATTGTATAAAAAATCAAATTAATTTAAAAAAACTAAAACTTTTCTCTCCTCCTGCTTACTCTTTTCTTTTTTTTTTTGTTGTAATATCTTTTTTAAATTTAGCTAGAGTAACAAATGCTGCAGGCGTGTGTTGTTGTGGCTGCTAAATCCACTGCGTTTAGTTCATGTTGAGATAGTCGTTGAAGAGCTGCATGCAAGCGGCAGCTCCGCCAGTGGGTTCCTCGGGATACAGTTGGTTGGCGTATTCCGGGAATCTCCAGATATTGGCCGCTTCCAGGAGTTCCCCAGCCGACGAGGAGGAATTCGAGCTGACATCGGAGGCATCGGCGGCTTTGGCCTGCTGGCTGCTATTATTATTATCCTGACTGATGCTCAGGTTGCACAGGAGATCGGTGAAGATGTCGTGGCTGCTGGCCGGTGTCCTTTGACCCGGCAGCTCCCAGATATTGGGCTGCTTGCCATAGTGCGAGGCACTCCATCCATTCGAGGAGGAACTGGAACTGGTCAGCGAGGCTGTGGGCGAGGCAGCATGTGGCAATTGCTGTTGCCCCTGCTGTTGCTGCTGCGGCTGCTGATGCAGTTGCTGCTGTTGCAACTCCTTGAATCCATCCCTGAGTGTGGCTGCATTTTGGGGCGAACCCTGGGTCGCCCACAACATCATCTTGGAGCTATTGTCGTTGCCATGACTGCTGGCCGTGGGACTCAGCGAGGGCTGCGATCCACTGCCCGAGGAGCAGCCACTGCTGCTGCTGGAACAGCCCCACAATGCCGAAATGGCATCGCTTTGCCCCCAGTTGGGTTGGATTTTGGTGCCTAAATTGCTGGCTGAATTATGGCTAATGATTAAGTTACTAATACTGCTGCTGCTGCTGCTGTTGTTGTTGTTGTTTGTGTTTGAATTGGTCAGTAGAAGGCCCTCGAGTCCTTTTTGCGTTGCATGTTGCTGCTGCCGCGGTTGCTGTTGCTGCTGTTGCTGCTGTTGCTGCTGCTGTTGGTACTTGCTCATCACATCTGCCATGGCCATCATGTTGATAGTTTTATGCGACTGCTGAGGGAAGTTGGTCCTCTGAAAATTGCTGACCGCAGGCTGATGTTGCTGCTGCTGCTGTTGTGACTGTTGCTGTTGTGTCTGCTGTTGCTGCTGCTGTTGTTGTGGTTGCTGCTGCTGCTGCTGCTGTCGCACCTGCTGCTGGTGCTGCTGGGCATGCGGATGGGCTCCAATCAAATCCGGATTAATTTGCTGCTGCAGCGGTGCCGAATAATCGATGGCGGCATTGTAGAGCGGCTGCTTGGCTGGCTGCTTGGCAAGGGAGCTGCAGCTGGAGGCCGTTGAAGCGCCCTGGGCATTTGGCACCTGAGTGGCGGTGGCACCTGTTCCCACGGGCGACTCCAACGGGGCCTCATGTTATGCGAGCGTCGGCAGTCGCGCCGCCGGGCTCTTGGCATAGCAGAAGCTCAGCGGCTTCACGAAGTGCGTGTCCTGTGTGTTGCAGTACGGACAGGTCACACCGTGCGAGTAGTCACTGTAGAAGCTCAGTCGCTGCTGCGGATGCATCAGCATCTTGAAGCAGTTATTGCACTACAATGGGAAAAGAAGAAATCGAAAATGGAGAAAAATGAAATCGGTTTTCATGCAGATGTTTTTTTTTTTTAATTTAAGGATCTGTAAATACATAGTACAGCAAACATTTGGTAGAAATAGAAAATATATAGTTAAATGCACACATGTCATATAAAATTAAATAAAAATCAAAAAGAGTCACAAAGAAAAGGAAAACTTTACCAAAAAAAATTTAAAGTGTACACACAATTAATATTAGGTATTTTAGAAATTTAGAATTTTAAAATTTAAGAGACATTTTTAATTATTTAAACATTTTCTGTTAATAAATCTAACTTTAAAATAGCATAAATGTTAAAATCTTGCGATTTGAGGACTTGATTTTTCAGGACGAATGTTTTCTGTTGAAATAATAACGAAATACTAATTTTAAAATCGAAGTAAAATAATATTTAGTATCTGTAATACCCTACTATATATTTTATGAATAAAAAACTCACCTTGAACCTCTCGGAGCAGCAGGGCATGGCCGCAAAGATATCATAGGCGTACATGGTGCCCAGAACCAGGCTCGAGCCATCCCACGGCTCCTTGCAGAATCTGTCAACGATGCAGAAAACACAGAAATTTATCATTCAAATACTCATTTCCTATTTCCCATCCATTTCCCCGCAATGCAATGCAATGATGCTCACCTGCAGTTGATAACGCGACTGCTGGATGTTCCGTCCAGGCAGCTCATGCAAACACAGGTCAAGTAGAGCGTGCGTCCCTCGTATTTAACCTGCAAGAAATGAAGAGGAGTGTGGTGTCAGGGGGTGTGAAAAAGCGGAAGCGGTGAAAAAGGTGCAGACAAAAGGTAACAAAAAAAAGGGGCAGGACCCAGCCGCATAATTCAAGCAGAAGCCCAGGGGCCACCAACCAGACACTTCAACAATGAAAAATTATGGCAGGAAAAAGAATGAATTGCAAGGGCGACCCTTCTATGCCCCTGAATACACTTTGCCAAATAAAGAAAAAAAAACATTAATGTTTGCCGAAAGACTTTCAACGACTAATTTTATTCAAATAAATTCGTTAAATAAATTTAGTCTAAAATGTATTACAAATATCAAAGAGCTATCCTTTCAAATACTTTAATATAGCCACTAGAAAATAATGAGTAATCCTCCAAAATGTCTGTAGTCAAAGATCCTTTTTGTATACATGCCGTCAAAGAGAATCTTTTTTTATACTTACAAACTAACAAAGGAACTTTATATATAGTTTTTTCTACTTAAATACCCTTCAAAGCCCTGACTAGGCAAATAAGCCGCCAGTTAGCAAACTGCTCCTTTTGTTAGGGTATCAACTTTCCACGCTTTTTGTGAAAGGGCGAGGAAGCGAGGGGATTTCCCAGGGAATCGAGCGCATTCTTGCATGCCTGACAAAAGGCCAAGGACTCGAGGGGAAACGAGGATGTGGATGTGGATGTGGTACTGCCATTGCGACGCGACATAATAATTTCAAATAAAATGCAAAATGCATAAACTTGCCCAGGAGATTGCTGCTGCCGCCCACGAACAGCACACCCGAGTCAAAGTCAAGGGAGAGGCATACAAAGGAGCCAATTCCAATTGCAGCAGCAGCAGCAGCAGCAGCAGCAGCAGCAGCAGCAGCAGCAGCAGCTGGCAATGAATTATAAATCCAGGCTTAATTTAAAGCCTCCAGAAGTCGGGGAAATCGGTGGGGCCGAGACTGACAGGCAGGCAGGAGGAAAAGAAGTAGGGGAAAATAGGGAAAATATGAAGCCCATGGAAGCGTAGGTCGTGCGTGCAGTGCTGTTCTCTTCTACGTAAAATGCGAAATGCGAAATGTGCCAACTGCAAACTGCAAACTGCAGTTTTCCCGGCTCTTCTTTTGGGCCCTGTCGTAATTACGCTGACTTAAATGGGTCATAAATTGCGGGCACAGACAGAGCCCAGAAAGAAATGGGTGTGGCAGGCAGAAGGCGGTCGGAGGCGACTCCAAATGAAGGTGGAGTAGGAGCAGTTCGCCCGCTAATTGCAGCTGAAAGTTCTCGGGGGCACGTGGGCGAGTGAAAGCTGCTTGGGTCGTGGGTGTGGGTGAGGTTGCCATGCCACATTTGACGTTTTATAAATGATGAATGCACAGAAAAAAAAACTATTGCAAGAGCAATTTTATCTCACATATTGGAATAGGCACTCAGAAATTGCATATTGCATAGCAATTGACTTAAAATAAGCTTAATTTTTAAAGTATTATAATTGAGTAAACGTTTTTATTAAAAGATATATGAATTAAGTTTCCGAAACAGTTTTCTATGATTTGAAATTTATTTGATTATATAAAGTTATAAATCAAAATGTGGTTTATCCCTTAAAATGTAGATAAAATATGTATAGATTTTTTCTGTGCTTAAGACTGTGGATTGAGACTTGGTGGATCGTTACTCACCTCAATGCAGCCGCTGGAATGCTGCTTGGGACTCAGGAAGAAGGAGCCGTCGACCAGTGGATAGCGATCGAATACGAGCAGCGGCTCCTCGCACAAAATGCAGGCCACCCGGCTCATCTGGGATTGGGCCAGAGAGGAGAGGATGAAAAGACGCGTCTCATCGTTGCCATGATTACCTTCATCCTCGATCTGGAAAGAGTGTAAAAGATAAAAAAACATATAAGTATTTGAGTTGGGTTGACTTAACAGACTTAAATAGAAAAAAAATTATGGTTTAGTGATGTTCCTGGTGCTAAAATAAGAAATGACACGAAGCACTGTGTAAATTTAATATAGTATTTTACTACTAATTAAATCTTAAAATTATTATTACCCTGTATAGCAATAAAAATAAATTTATTGTTTCACAGCTAAACAAATGGATTATTTAGAGTGTTGTGTGCATTTGTGTTTATTAAGGAAGCAAGAGGTTTTCCCAGCTTTGCCCCAAAAACAAATACATTAAATATATAAAAAATAAAAAAAAACCCGAAGTAGGGAAAGTTCGTTTACCCTAAAGCCACTGTGGCTGCCGTCAAATTCAAGGTGGTGTCCAATGAACATTGCCAATATATGTCTGCCGAGGGACTAAACGAAGCAACCAGCCAGCGTCTAAGCGCCAACAAATGAACCATAAAATCCAAACGTGCCGGGGAAAACAGAGCGGGAAACAGAAACAGCTCCGTGTTGTCTAAGCCAAAGTGGCTAGCACGTTGCCCAAATTGAATGCACACAAAACACACACAGCTAGCCAGCAGGTGTGTGCAGCCAAGTTAAGTCAGCCAGTCAGCCAGTCAGCTAGTCAGCCAAACAGTCCAGGCCAATTCCCAAATCGATAATCAATATGGCGAGCCGGCAGATGAACCCACTCTCAGTACATAATTTCCACCGGCTGGTAATAAAGCCGTCAAAAAGCCAAAAGGTGTTGAAAGGATCCACGAAATACGGCTAAAATGGGAATAGTTGGAACCACCACACCATTGCCAATCAGAGTCACCTAACCATCCAATGATGAGGGAATATTTGTGACTCTGTTTGGGTAATTGACGATGGTCCGGCACCTGACCAGACGGAATAACAGCACTCAGACATATACTATATATGGTTAAAGTGGGAAGGGGTGGTTCCCTGCCAGGTTGAATAATTTAGAGGAATGACATTGGAATGTATCGAAATTAAGGTAAAGGACACGTAGAACCAATCAATTGCAGATGAGGACAGGTTTAATGCACTTTTAATATGTTTCAAGATGTGTGTGGGTAGATAAACCCCAAGCCCCTTGGAAACATTCGCCAATATTTAACCAGAACTTTTGTTCTCTCATCCACTGGAGAAGAAAGAATGACACTGTTCTTAGCCCGCCTCTCAAGCTAAATAATCAACAAATTAATATTTGCACGGGACCCACATTGCAATGTTGTTTGCCAACTTCTTGGGGGCCAGAGCCAGAGCTCATAAATCTTGGCAACAATAAAATCAACTCCCAACATTGTTACAAAACAACAGATTCGATTAATGAATGTTTGCATGCCGAAAAGGGGAGAGGGGTGAAATTCTCTGCGTAAGCGATACCAAACCAAGGCACAATTTTCACTCATTAAACAAAAGAATCCAGGGCCAGAATACCGGGGTGAGTTGGTAAAGCAATTAAGTTGATTGCTCAAGGAGAATGTGCGTATCTGTGGGTGAGAGGTGCTTGTCTGGGATTACGGACAATAACAATAACCCAGATAGCAGAGGCAACTGCAGCAATAATCTTTTTCTCCTCTTACAGCTCTTGGTATTACCAAAAAATGAAATAAAAGGCTGCAGACGCACATGTATCGTACATTCCATCAAAATCTTGGCCTGGTCTTTCACACTTTTTCTATAGGTTTATTTTGGCACAGGAAAAAATAAATGTTGAAAATTTTTTACTAATCAAAGTTTTATTCATTTTATTTACTTTATTGTTCTTATTTATAAAACCATAAAATTTCCATAATAGTGGAGCATCATAAAAACAAATACAGACTTGTTTTATAGTATCCCTGACTTTTTGCTCTGTTCAAGGCATTAATAATTCCCTTCTTCATGTTGTCTACGTGACGATTTGCTAATTTCATCTGCGTTCAGTTGAGTTCTTCCAAGAAGGCGGTCGTTGCCCAAAACAGAGAATGAACTCAGAAGTCGGGGCCAAAGGATTGAGGACTCTATCTGCTTCATAATTTATGAGAGTCGCGTGTGGAAAGTTTTTGGCAAAACCGCCGCAGTGGGGAACTTGAACAAATTATAAGCATGAAATTATTATTGCTGAATTTGAGATTATTTGTTTGAGAGCGCAACAACTTTTGCATGGTCCCACGCAGAAGTCAAAAGTCGAAGTGCAATAAACTCCCGACACTGAGGGTTTTATCCAGGACTTTATCGGAGGACACTAATGAAGCCATTGAGTTGTCACTTCCTTTGGCTGGCTGGCTGGCATTGGACGCATAAATCAGGCAACAGCACTTCCTCCCGACCATAAATATCAACACCCAAACCCAAACCGAAACTCACACTGGAGCCACAAATCAAAAAGGTTTTCGTTTTCGCCACACCCTCCACTAAAATGAGGCCAAGACAATGGGCCCAAGAAACTACAATTCAATTGAATTCGTTTTCGATTCCTTTAGTTGGGCTCAAAGTGCTGGGGTTTTCATAAACACATTAAATTAAATGGCATTTCTTGGCTTAAGTGCAGACGGAAGTTGAGAGAGCTACTACCAACTGTTAATCCATTAAAAATGCCAGCCATAAATTCTTCACCCAAAGAATTTCCCACTCCTCTCTGCTTGCTTATACGTATTTTTTTTTGGGTGGATTCCTTTAAGCTTTATGCAAAAGTTAATAAAAGTGTTTAATATACCAATTCGCCTTTGTGAGTTTTCGCCGAGTGTTTGTGCAGACAGTGTGCAAACATGTGAGCCTGAAATACCTCCTCCATTGTTTAAGTTACCTTTTTCCATCCAGCTTAAAGAGCATGAAAATTCCTCATTAGCCGATGTGGGCGTAACTGCGAGGAGAAACTATTTTATTAACCCGGAAAAACTGTTTATTCTCAATTGTCAATTGTGTGCGTGTGTGTGTGTGGAAATTGAAAAATTGTCTGCGCTTTAAATGGTTTTTCCCCTCGAACCGTAGGCGTTTTTTGCCAGAGACAAAAGAAATGGCAGAATAAATTTGAAAATTGTCATCGGCAAAACTGACAGCAGGCTGTGGGCTGTGGGCTGTAGACTGTTGGCTCTTTTCTGCGGTGGGCGTGGTGTTAGGTGCTTAATTTAAGCAGTGGAATAAGTTTGCTGTCTCCCAGCGAGACACTTTGATCAATGGGCCAGATGTGACCTGTGGATTAGGAGTTAAAGCCAATGACAAGCCAGCAACAATGCCAACAACTTAGTTCTGCCAACAAGGCAAACATACAAAACACAAGACACTGACAATGAAATGGAATTGCAGCAGAATTCCGGGGGAAGGACAGCACTTTTATAAATGAAATGGAGTTATAATATTTTGCGACAACAAATGCAGGAGAAAAAATAAAACATAGCATACCGCCAAGCGCAGATGTGCAGGATACAAGGAAATAGTAAATTAGTAGGGATGAAAAAACACCAGGAACAACGGAACAAGGCAACAACTACACAGAGACAATTTAATTTTGAAAAAAACAATAGCTCAAATAACAGTGTTGTACAATAAATTAAAAACAATTTTGTTTTGTTTGCATATCCCATATAGATGATTGCCATATTAACTAAATATATTAATAATTTTATATTCAAAGTTTATTTTCTCTGTACAGCCAAAGAATTGCAGACAAACAAACATTTCAATAAATTCAAAAAGTACCATGCCAGACAATGAAAACTCCACCGAAACGGAGGGAAAAACAAGAAAAAGGAGTACCAAGTCAAAGGGAAAAGACGTCGACGAGGAAATGCGGGGAACTGGAACTGCACTCTGTTGTACAACTGTGAAGTGGCTTAAAAGCTTGTCGAGGGGTTGCAACTCCTAAAAGGCAGCTGGTATTCGCATTGTTTTTCCCTGAAAATCTCATGTCATTTGCACTTAATTCAAATGCGCGACACAATTGCGAAATAAAAGTAAAAAAAAACAAAAAAAAAAAAAAAGGAGAACAAGAAGCAAAGCTGAGGGAAGAGCTTTGCATATCTAGTCAGGGCTTGTCTGGGTTATAACTTCATTAGGCGGCGCAGTCCAAATGGTTTTTTGATAAGCTGCGCTACACCGAAGAGTTCAAGAAACTTTTTGCCCCCCCATCTCGTGGCCATATCCTGTGCCAAGTTTTTGATGTCCTTGTCATAAGCAAATTTTCCTTTCACTGGAAGCTCTCCAAAACATTTTAATTTCTCCGCCCTCCATTTATATATATATATTATATACATCTTTTTGCATTCTTTGCTATTGCCATTAGCCAAATGCTTTTCATGGCCCTAAGCTGCTCTTGGCCGGTTAGTATCCTTCTGACCTTTAAATATCAATTTGCAAATAAATTGCATTTGGCCCTTAGTTCAGATGTTTTCGTTGTTGCCCATTGACTGGACTTTGGGTCTCGTTATTTATCGGGCGTTCAATGTGCTATGGCATAATGGCTTTCTTCGATTGGCCAACAAGAGGAGAGTTTTATGTACAAGGCAAACCAGCAAGAGGCAAAAACAAATGCAATTTCCAATTTCATTTTTCTCCCAGCGCCTTGAAGTATGCTTTTGCCTTTTTTCACAGTTTATTGAACTGCATCCCGCCGCAAGGCTCCTTTCCCTTTTTTGTTTTTTTTTGTATTTTTTGTGCTTGTCCTCCACTTTAAACTTTATTCTCGAGCATAACAATTATTTTTATATGAAAAGCAAATTTCAAAGGCTTCTCCCAGACATTCGCTAGACATTGATGGTTATTGGGTCCGCATACTCCACGCCTTCGCATTTTTCCCACTAAGCAAGCAATTTAAATGCATTCGGTGGCAGTTAATAGTTTTATTATGGTGCTCTTGTTAAACTTAATTGTTTAATTATTTTTTAAGGCACCCCCCGTTGGTTTTTTTTTCCACTGTTTTTTTTTTCCTGCTGCATTTTACGAAGTCACAGTACATTGCTTTGATTCGAACTTAATCCCCA